ACTTTAATTTATTTTAAAACTTATCTTTCAAGCATACGAAAAACCTACACTTAGCAATGTGCGTTGCGAGAACGCGGGGATTGAGTTTAAATAGCGTAAAGGAATAACTCTACTCATGAGAGAAGCGAAATATTGAAGGCAATGGCAGATCTATCTTTATAGCAATGTCAATGAAATCAGGTGCAAATGAATGCGAATTCTATTAGACCTGATGAGATACAAAACCAAACTAATTCAAATTTTAATGAATAGAACTCGTAGCAGAATTGGACCGGAAATAAAACAAGAATTGTCTGGTTGTATTCAAGAAAATCAAATACAATAATAAAAGCACCAAAAGAATTAAATAAAATAACTTTCATCATAGGAGAATGTATTTTAAAATGTATATAAAATATTTAAGAGAGAAAACGTATCCTTGACAAACTTAATGTCTGTTTCAGCTGATTCACTGGACTCCTTCTTTTCTCATGCAGGCTGTTTCTTTTCAATATAGGTTAGGAATTACTCAAATATATTTCCAATGTAAATAAAGCTCTTTTAGTATTTCAAGTAGTTCTTCGTATCGTACCCAATGAAATGCCTATGTGTAATCAACATTGTTTAACCTTTGTGCCCGCCAAAAACACTGTGTCAAAAGGACTGTTATTCCCTTATTAGTGTATATATTTTTGACTTTCTCAGCAATATTTATTGTTTTAAAAAGCAATGATTAAAATTTTAATAAAATCAAAACATTTGAAAGTTGATTTATACATTTTCTTTATTCTTGAGAATGACAACAAAGATGTTAAATACTATTTATTATTATTTACAAGAATAATTTTATATTTAAAGATATGTGAACCAACTATAATGAAATATTTATTATTTACTATTTTATAAAGAAATAAATATGAAAATAATTTTTTTTATCCATAAATTTATTAAAAAAAGTCTGTGAATTAGAAAATTTAAATAAGCACATAACGACATGTAAATGTAATTGTGAATTTCGAAAAAATGCATTTCCAGACATTTTCTTCATTTGATTTCGCCATTAAAATTCACTAAAATAGGTTGAGAGTATTTCTTTCTCTTACATATTTTGATAATTTTGTGATTTTTTTTAATAAAAAAATTATTTTCACATTTATTTCTTTATAAAATGGTGAATAATAAATTTTTTATAAAAGGTAGATAATAAATATACAATTGTATTTGGCTCACATATTTTTATAATCTTGTAAGAAAATATTTCCGAGGGAGTCAAAAGTGCATGCAGTAATAGCGGTGTCTAGGGAATAACAATTTATTAACACACTATTCTTTTTTCGTGGGTAAGAAGGTTAAACATTGCCATGTAATTACTAAAATATAGGTATAGGTTTTTATTTTTTTGTATTGTTTTCAGTGAAAGCATTCAGATTATAACAATAGAATTTCTGATAAGGTAATTTCATTTATTACCCCTCTCCTAAAAATATCAACGCATTTATTTACACACAGTTTTGTCTTTCAATCCGATTTAAAGATGGCGAACCTAACACGTCACGTCGGCGAAACGCGTCGTCTATAAGTTTTTCTACTTTTTCTCATATGTCTATATCTATATCTATCTCAATCTCTCTGTGTATAATGAATGATAAAAAAATTACCACAAGTGGGGAATAGGCTATTTCGGCAGATGATGAAAGTGGTTGTCTGTCTTTTCATCGGGGTTGAAAAGACAGACTACCACTCGTATTGTCTTCCGAAATAGCCTATTCCCCACATAAGTTAAAAAAAAATTGATTATTCATTATATTGCCCTGTACAAATAAAATACATCGACCTCTCCTTTTGTGGATCAATTTTAATATTTTTATATTACTAGGACCTACTTGGATTATACACTTATGCAATTTATATTTTTTACCTTTCCATATATATATATATTTATATGAAGAAAAATATACGGAAAAAACAAACAAAAATCCTAATATGCAATTATGCTGTTTTAATGTTAATATAATGTCAACGTCGGACGTTTCGGTCTAGTAGACCATCTTCAGGACATATTCATAAAACATAATTAACATTAGACTATATTCAATTCAACATGAAAAGACGGATTTATGAGGCAGGCATAATATCTATCTCACGCACGGTGAATACTAGACCCGGCTTCTTTAATATTTCCCCTTTTCTAGCAAGATTAATGCTCGACAAACGTACATATAAGTTTTAGATTAAAATAAAATTCTTTTCATTTTTCATTCAAAATACTCTATTTTAAGGATACGTTTTCACAACATCGCCCACGTGACGCCGACGTGATCATATTGAAACAGAACGCTGATCTTGAAAAATTTCAGTTATCTGTTTTGATTAGTCTTACTCTTATGTTCATCGTCTTTATTTTTTAATTTTATTTAAGCTTTCGGCTTACATAAGCCATTATCAAAGAAGACAATTACATTACAATATATTAAGCAATACACGGACAAAACAATAATGATTGTCTGTTTATGTTTACATGGAAGATTTCCAAGCAACGACAAACTCGTGCATACAAGACACTGGAAGCGAAAATCGCACCGCAGCTCGTGATGTCACACATGACTACGCGAGAGTGAAAACGAGAAGTGTTAAGTATGGGAAGTCGTTGGTATAAACCAATCGCTTCTGTTATAAATCATAGGCATTTAAGAATGTTTGTGGAGATTTCATAGTTTATTTTGTTTAGTTTAAGTTTCAACTGTTTTATGTATATAGCTTCAAGAATTTTTAGTTTTTGCTTATTGTTTTCATGTTTAAGTATAGCTGTGTTTTCAACGAGGATTTTCCGGAATTGTGTGTGTGGCCAGGCATGTTGTTTTAAATGCCTAAAAATGGTAGAGTTATCATTTAAATGTCAAGCGTCGTGAAAGCGCGTTTGTGGTGTGACCAACATAAATATTATTTAATCCGTTGGAGATACAAGCGATTTGCAAAAAACGAACATAGTTTACAAATTCAAGTGCCCTTTGGGAGATTGTATTAGACATTATGTTTTAAAATGTCTATGACAGCAAGGATTTATGATACCTAAATTGTAATTAAAAAAAAATTACAATTATAAAAAGAATGTTTTAAAATACGTAAAATGTAATTAAAAAAATTACAAATATAAATTAAGTTACCTCCCTTGATGACGTTAACTACTACATCAACAGACCACGTTTCTCTACGCATTTACAAAAAAATAAATAAATAAAAAAATAAAAAATCAAAAAAAATCACACCTATCAATTATATTAATTTTTTGTTTTAGCAATTCACCCTGAAGATGATCATGGATGAGAGCGAAAGTACTTGGGAAAATAAAAGGAATGAGAAAAACTACGGCACCTTCCTTAAATGGCAACATCAAGAAATTGATCCGTACATTTAAAAGGATTAAAATAAAAAGAGACATAATTTGCCTACATTATTCAACAAAGCAAGCAAGCAACCAAACACACACACACACACACACACACACACACACACACACACACACAAACACATATGTGTGTATGTGCATAGTAAATATTCAGCCAATACAAGAACCACTCGTGGTAGGGATACTGAATGAGGGTGTTGTTTACAGAGAGGATAAATTAAGTGCATATTATGAGGATATGTAGAATAGATAACAGTTGACCCTGGACTAGAAGTGGTTAAGATTGTAGTGATCGGAGAAGAATTTTTGTTCTGTTATATATATATATTTTTATTCTGTTATATAGATTTTTTGTAAAAATTGGCGCAGTGCAAAATTATTCGCTGTCCCATTAATGGAAATTATTAAATAATATTGCTCTATGATAAATGTTTTTTTTTTACTTCTTAGTTTGATATTTAATACAAGTACCATTGAAAATTATATAGTACTAACGTGATTCTATGACATTCTAGAACGTTCTGAAGAACACAATACGTATGTACCACGTACTGTGATATCTCATTCTGCAAGCATGGCAAAACTTCTGAACTTGACAAGAAGCTCTAAATGAAGACAGCTGATTTGTCGCAGCAAGTTGATAGATATACAGCAATTTTCCAATCGTTTTAATGTTCCTAGATCGATAATTCAATGCATTATAAAGAAATAGAACGAGACTCATTGTACTAAGAATAAGTTAAGGAGTGACAGAAAATGGCTAATTTATGAGAGAATGGAAGGGAAAAATTGTTAGAGATGTCTTCAAGATTCCGCACTTAACTAAACAAAATATATGAAGATTAGGGGTGCCAATGTAATTAATGTATGACAGTGACCTGAAACACACGGCACGAATTGTTATGAAATACTTAGATGGCATCAAAATTATGGTATGAGGTACCGAAACGAAGTGAAAACCTAAACTCCATTGAAAATTGATAGGCTTATTTGAAGAAAAAAGTGGAAGGAATTTTTTCGAATTTAGAGGATCTAGAAGCTATTTCTAGGGAAGAGTGGAGCAAAATACAGAAATAATTAAGTAATTAAAATACAGAAACAATTAAATAATTAAGTAATTAAAATACAGAAATAATTAAAATAATTGTCGGACTTTGTCCATTTCATAATGTACGTCAGTGTGTGTAGTGAACTTGAAAGAAACTACCAAAAATGATAACAGAGTCAATAACAAAGAAGCTGTTCGATTGGAACTTACTTCTGCCCGATGGAACACGGAAGGAATGTGTGTGGTTTTCTACAATGTAAGTAGCATGGCTGGTCCTGGCCGTAAAGGTGCTAACTGGCTAAACCAAGGAATGAAGATTAAACAATTCAAGTCAATAACAGAGAATAAAGATTGCACAATTGCATATTAAGGCAAGAAAGTTAATAATTTTGCTCTATGTTAAATGTTTGTTTGATGTCTTCGCATGATTGTTTGATATTAAAATAAAATTTGGTTCTGATCAAAATTCCACATTCTTTCAAATCCACTATTTGATCATTTGGGAAAAAACGAAATTTCCATGAAAATTTGAGGGATTACGGTTTTATTCATAATTATCAAATGGGGATGAATAATTCTGACACTAACCCTATCTATCTATCTATCTATCTATCTATCTATCTATCTATCTCAGTCCATTCATTTCTATCTATCTATGTCATTTTTATTATCTATCTATCTATCTATCTATCTATCTATCTATCTATCTATCTCAGTCCATTCATATCTATCTATCTATCTCATTTTTATTCATCTATCTATCTATCTATCTATCTATCTATCTATCTATCTATCTATCTATCTATCTATCTCAGTCCATTTATTTCTCTCTCTCTCTCTCTCTCTCTATCTATCTATCTATCTCAGTCCATTTATTTCTATCTATCTATCTCAGTCCATTCTTTTCTTTCTATCTATCTATCTATCTATCTATCTATCTCAGTCCATTCATTTCTATCTATCTATCTATCTATCTATCTATCTATCTATCTATGTCATTTTTATTATCTATCTATCTATCTCAGTCCATTCATTTTTCTATCTATTATTTTATTATCTATCTATCTCAGTCCATTCATTTCTATCTATCTATCTATGTCATTTTTATTATCTATCTATCTATCTCAGTTCATTCATTTCTATCTATCTATCTATGTCATTTTTATTATCTATCTATCTATCTATCTATCTATCTATCTATCTATCTCAGTCCATTTATTTCTAACTATCTATCTCAGTCCATTCATATCTATCTATCTATCTATCTATCTATCTATCTATCTATCTATCTATCTATCTCAGTCCATTCATTTCTTTTATATCTATCTATCTATCTATCTATCTATCTATCTATCTATCTATCTATCTCAGTCCATTCATTTCTATCTATATATCTATGTCATTTTATTATCTATCTATCTATCTATCTATCTATCTATCTATCTATCTATCTATCTATCTATCTCAGTCCATTCATATCTATCTATCTATCTATCTATCTATCTATCTATCTATCTATCTATCTATGTCATTTTTATTATCTATCTATCTATCTATCTATCTATCTATCTATCTATCTATCTATCTATCTATCTTTTTACAGTAAGATTCTACCTGTACAAGGCTTGGGGACCCCATGAAGTAGAGATTTACGTTAGGAGGCAGTTTGTATGGATAGGTGAGGAAGGTAGCGATTAACCCTAGCCTTGAACAGGTTAGGATTGTGGTGATCGGGAAAACATCCTCTTTGGTGTTGGTTCCACAGAGCTGTGGTTTGCTGGAAGAAGCTGTTCAAGTGAAACTTACTTCTCACCGATGGAAATACGGAGGGAATGTGGTTGGTTTGCTAAGACGTGAGTGCCATGGCGGATCATGGCCCTGAAGGTTCTAACTGGCGGAACCAAGGAATGTATTTCGCCTGAGCACTTTCCTAGAGAGCAGTGAGAGGCTTGCCACGTACCACCTGTGTGTGTGAGAGAGAGAGAGAGAGAGAGAGAGGTTGGAAGTGGAAATAAGGGTTCGGAGACACTTTTGAACTCTATCGAGGTTTGAGATCGCGCTCCGTGCAAATCCTGTCGAAATATGACAAAAGCACTCCATTCTTGGCTTGATCTGACTATTATAAAGTTAAGAGATAGCACGAGGAGCCAGGCATTTACTGGAGCGTTACTGGGCGGGGTCGACAATTATATCTACATCTTTAGCGATGTCTCCTATGTATGAGTTTCACGTCAGGTCAGGTGTGACCTTCCCAAAGAATACCAGAATATAGACGAAAGAATTGTAGCTACGACACGGACAGTCCCTTCAATTAGTTTCCTGAAATGACCGTACATGACGTCCCGCTAGACCGTTTCAAAAGTTCTAGTTTCCCAAAGAATACCAGGATGTAGACAAAATAAATCTATCTACTCCACAGACGGTTCATTCAACTCGTTTTCTGAAATGACCGTACACCAGGTCAAGCCAGACCATTTCAAAATTTTCCAGCTTCCCAAGGACTACCAGGACGTAGACAAAAGAATTGTAACCACGACATAGACAGTTCCTTCAATTCCTGAAATGATCGTACACGTCGTCCCTTTAGACCGTTTCAAAAATTCGATTTTCCCAAATGTTATGGGACCTTACGCATACTAACATAATGGACTATTCCTTACGTAACAAATACTGCGCCTCAAGAGGAAGCAGGGAGTTCAGTCCGAAGTCGGGCGACCGGCTGACTGGCTGATCGGTTGAACTCTCTGCCTTCGGGCGGGGAGGAACCCGAACGACGCTACGCCAAAGGGCGGAGTCTCTTTCAGGGAGGTAAACCGACCCTGAACCCGTGTATACGGCTTCAAAGTGCATATTTTTGGCCAAGCCCACGGGCTCGGAGATCCCACGTTAAACCGGCCTTGTGCCACATGATGCTCTCGTGGGGGGGTGACTAAATACTGTTCAGTCTGAAGTCGTGCGACCGGCTGATCGGTTGAACTCTCTGACTTCGGGCGGGGAGGAACCCGAACGAGGCTACGGAGTCTCTTTCGGGGAGGTAAACCGACCCTGAACCCATTTATACGGGTTCAAAGGGCATATTTTTGGCCGAGCTCACGGGCTCGGAGATCCAACGTTAAACCGGCCTTGTGCCACATTATGCCCTCGTGGGGGGTAACTAAATACCGTTCAGTCTGAAGTCTGGAGTGAGGTCCGTCAGAAGTCCGTCAGTCAGTCAGAGCGAGCGAGTCAGTCAGTCGAGTCAGAGGCAGTCCGAAACAGAGTCACGTTCAGACAATTACTACTAAACCTGATTGTTCGTACGAACACTTTCTACTTCTCTGTATATATTCCTGTTTGTAATATATCTGTGTTATTCCATATCCGTATTCGAGTTCTTCTTTATTGGTTCTACCTTGGACTATCACCGTGGTACAAGGAACCGGATCATAACACCAAAGAATACCAGGATGTAGGCAAAATAAATCTATCTACTCCACGGAAGGTTCCTTCAATTCGTTTTCTGAAATGACCGAACAACATGTCCAGCCAGACCATTTCAAAATTTTCCAGCTTCCCAAGGACTACCAGGACGTAGACAAAAGAATTGCAACCATGACATGGACAGTTCCTTCAATTCCTGTAATGATCGTACACGTCGTCCCTTTAGACCGTTTCAAAACTTTCAGTTTCCCCCCAAAAATACCAGGATGTAGACAAAAGAATTGCAACTACCACATGAGCGCTTCCTTCAACTTGTTTCCAGAAATGACCGCACACTTCCTTGTCGTTTTATTTTAGGTTTTGTGTCTGGGAGTTTCTTACCCTTATATTCTTTTTTCAACACTTCTACTGCGAAGAACCATTCATGATTTTGAATTGTGTGTCCGCGGAATCAACACCAACTCCTTTATCACCCTTCAAGTATATATTGTCTTTCCATAAGTTCTTGTGCAATGGAGTCTTTCATGACATTGGTTTGTGTGCCTATCATACGTCTCCATAGTGGAGTCGACGCTAATTTTCAATATCGACTACCCCCGCTTTCATCACGATAGCCCTGACAATTTATGCAATTAACTTTCAGTGGTTTGAGAACAACTAGAAAGAGTACTATCAATCCAACAACAAACTTCGAAGTTTTGCAACCGTTACTTATTTCAAGGATTCGACTTTTACCCTTTCTGAAAATCCAGTAAAATTACTTCTTTAAATGATGTCTTTCTGGCGGTAATTGAAGTATTGTTCGAAAAGCCACGATCGTAGATCCTATATAGAATGGAAAATGCGTAAAGAAAATGATGGGCGTTGGGTTGAAGAGGAAGAAAACAGACACACAGACGGGTGAAGTCGGAAAGTATGGAAGGAGATAAGGCATAAGAATATCTTCATTTATAAATAAGCGTGACATAATTTCCGATTCATTGGTTGCTGATTAGCAGACGAAATTGACTTTGAGCCCAAAAGATTGCCCGAGCAGCAATCAGACTAGACGAAAAACAAAAAAAAAAAAAAAAAAACAAAAAAAAAAAACAATACAAAAAACATTAAAGTCAATTTCTCACGAAAATCTTTTACATTAAAGCAAGAAAAGACATGAGTGAGAAAAGACAACAAAATTAACAGTTAATGGCAAAGAAAAGAAAAACTTGGTTTTAATAGAGTCCGCTGTCCATTTAAAAAAAAAAATACCTTATTTCCAACGTCTGTCACGTGAGATGGCAAAATTAAAAATTCTAACAAAATAACAAAATTTGTTACAGCTTACATGTTTTTTGAGGTTTCATGAATAATTGAATATAATTCATGCGCAAATTCTCCCTCACATTGTCAGTGGCTGTTGCTCATTTTCAAAAGACAACCTATATTTGTTGAAATGAATATTAAGTTCTCACTTTGGCTTTAAAAGGTAAAGGCAAATGTAAGCTATTCGATGTAGATAACAGAATCAAAAAAGTAGAACAATTTAAATATATGGGAAGTATTTTAACAGACTACGGAAAGTGCGACACTGAAATCCGAATGGACATTTGGATATCGAAAGATGCCTTCCAAAAGCTAAGTAAAGTATTAAAAAATAGGAACATTTCGTTAGAAACAAAGAAAAGTGTACGGAACTGTTAGGCAATATCAGTTGGATACTGGAAAATCTCCTTGAAGATGAAGAAGAAACTCATAGGAACAGAAATGTTGTTCTGCAGAAGGATGCTGAGAATACTATGGAATTGATATGTGAGCAACGACGAAGTTCTGTGGAAAACTGAAAAAAAACGCACATGGAGAAAGTGGAAAGGGAAACAAAGAGGCAGTTGAAATTTCTAGAACACATAATGAGGAAAGAGGGCTTGGAAAATTTGATACTCACAGGACAGATGGAAGTCAAGAGGGACAGAAGAAAACAACGCATAACCTATCTAGTGAGCTTGAGAAAATCGATGGCAGAACAGGGTTTAGAAGAGATAACAAAAGGAACAAGTTTATTAAGAGCTACAAAGAACAGGGAACTGTGAAGCGCCATATTTGCCAACGTCCTGAAGGGACAAGGCACATAGAAGAAGAAGAAGAAGAAGAAGAAGAAGAAGCTATTCTGCATTTTTGTTGTTTTTTTTTTGTTAGATTTAACAACCGTATTCCATTTTTATATATCCCATAAAGCATATATAATATGTAATATATTTTGCAAAACTTGCGCAGAATCGCCCTCATACTGTCAGTTTTTGCTTATTTGCAAAAGACGATATATCATAATCCTAGTCTTTGTTTCGCTGTCGTTCATTTACTGGTATAAAATCTATATTCAGTTATTGGATGCTTATAGTGCAATTGAATTATAGTAAGACCTTCCATTAACTTCTGCGACAATTAATACTACATTGATAAGCATATAGATACAGATGTGTATAGATATACCTGGTGTAACAGCAAAATTGTCCAAATCGTGTAAAAGCAAAATTGTCCATTACTTATAATAAGCTTTGAACCGTTGTATCTTGGAAATGATCAACAATATCTTACTGCAATTCTCCGAGCTTTTTATAACACTATTGTATTCTACTTTGAGCAATAAAAATGTATAATTACTGTCGAAGCTAAACAGAAAAATTCGTGATGAAATCGATCATGAACGAAAATAACGTTCATCGTTAATTAATCATGGCTAAGGATAGAAAGATCATGAAGGGTTGAAATTGAGTTCAAATATATATATATATATATATATATATATATATATATATATATATATATATATAATTCCAGGATCATTTTCAACTCATTCAAGATGATCTTCGCTCTCTCTAAACTCCTTACTTTCTGTCCTGAGAAACAAAAATGCCTCATACGTTTCACATACGATTTTCAAATCTTTTTCACTGCTCTTTGGACTGTTATACGTGAAACTTCTTTCACATGTGTCAAACATCTTATGGATTGAGTTGGATCTTTTCTAATTGATCTCTTTAGCTCTAAGTTGAAATAATCATCTCTCTTCCTGCTGTGACCTCTTGGTCCAGTTTTCCCCTCTACTGTTCCCTCTTTTTAAACTTATTCACCGTTCTCTTGATGGTTCTTGAATGAATTTTGAAGATGGAAGCCAGAGTACTATTGTTGAAGGCCTGAATGATTATTTTCCACTCACCATTGCTCGTTTGGAAAGAGAGTGGGTCTAACCCAAAACAATTTTAATCTGCTCTCTTTTTAGCTGAATAAGTCGAAGGGTTTTCAGTCATTCTTACGATAAATCGTGTCAAACGTCTTATCTGAAAACCTGGAATAGAGAAACTCAATTAGTTTAGTGTTTTTTGTAGATATTAAACATTTTGTGAGATAGATGAGGGAAAGAGGAAAACAGCGTGTAACATACTTGATGAAGTTTGAGTAAATGAATAGGAGAACAGAGTGTGAGAGAAATAACATAAAGCCAAAACTTATTAAGAGCTACAAGAGACAGGAAGATGTGGAGAGCCATCATCGCCTTGAAGGGAAACGGCAAAAAAATGAAGAAGAAGACTTGCGCAGAATCGAATTGAGTTTCTGTCATGGTGCCTACCTAGACCGACAGAATGAACTCTTCCGAACGCTATACACACTACGCCTCTCAAGAGAGACGAACAGTATTAGTACGAGTATTAGTACGGATTTGGTATTGGGACGGTATTGAATCGAGTCGAGCTTCTCGGCTTGACGGTCGAACTCTCTGCCTCTGAGCAGAGAGAAACCCGGACGAGGCTCCGCCGAAGGGCAGAGTCTCGTTTGGGGAGGTTGACCAACCCGATCCCGTTTATACGGGTTCTCCGGGTATTTTTTGGCCGAGCCTACGGGCTCGGGAAACCTACGTTAAACTCGGCCTTCTGCCACATGCAACCCTCGTGGGTGGGGGGAGGCTAGTTACCGAATCGAGCCAACCCTTTCGGCTTGACGGTCGAACTCTCTGCCTCTGAGCAGAGAGGAACCCGGACGAGGCTCCGCCGAAGGGCAGAGTCTCGTTCGGGGAGGTTGACCAACCCGATCCCGTTTATACTGGTTCTCCGGGCATTTTTTTGGCCGAGCCTACGGGCTCGGGAAACCCACATTAAACTCGGCCTTGTGCCACATGCAACCCTCGTGGGGGGTGGCTAGATACCGAATCGAGTCGAGCCGATAGTAGTTCACTCCAAACCAGACTGACAGTCATACTAACCCTTTCACTTCTTTGTATTATTTCTTGTGTAATATATTCTGTTAATTCTACTGTTGTGTTTCGTGTTGTTCTTTCATGGTCCTAACCTTGGACCATAAAAGTTTCATATGTAAACACATCGAAAAGCTTGATAGACGGCCAGTTATATTTGACTTGGTAGACGGCTGTCGAAATACAAGCATTTTCATTTTGCTGAGAATTTTTGCTTTATTTACAAGCAGGCTATTGTCATCATCATTGTTATTATTAGGTTGGTGTAAAAATAATGTCGTTTTTTGACGTTCAACTTAACGTCAAAAAACGACATTATTTTTGCACCAACCTAATATTATCACAACGCATCAACCTTTGCGACGTCCGGCCTTCATCAAGTGTATACCGAGCCAGGTAACCTATAGGGAATTCCGAATTGAACGCTTTATGTAATCTCCGAGGTTAAATTGTTCTTGTTCCCCTGTCCATGGAAGGAGATCTCGTCTAGTTCTTTTATTTAGTACTGCCCAGTCCCCGGCCTGGCTCACAATGACCATGTCAGCCAATTCAAAAACCAATACTTTAATCCACTAGGATTTCACTGTAGGTTGCCCGAATCAACATACAACTGATGAAGACTGGGGATGTGGGCACAACGATTCGAAAATGCAAACATTTTTCATTGTCTTTGGCTATTAACTGATTTTACGAGAAAGCTAGTCGCTTAAAACATGTTTCTATGACTAACCGAGATCTTTCTGACATTTTAAATCAACGCCAAACAATAATTAGAAAACGTAAAATGTAACGTGTTATATAGGAATAAAGTATCACTGCTGACAGTTCGAACATAGTCAATGACCAGACACAGGCGATCATATTATTGAATAATGTAGATTACGTGGCCATAGAAGAAATATATATATATATATATATATATATATATATATATATTCGACTATCTCGTCGAATTCGACGTATGAGGGTCAAGCAGATCAGTTCCTAGGAAACTGATAGCCCGACACCAGCACATGAGATTTGATTATAGCGGTGAAGGTTTTGTGCAGAACCAAACATACTTTTTGAAAGGCCGAATACAAAGACCTGGTGCACTAAGGCGCGACAAGATCCCCAAACGACCTCCGCAGGTTTTGACAAGATCCCCAAACGACCCTCCGCAGGTTTTGAATTGAATTCGAACTGACCTCCGATTCGAATCGAAGTTGTCCATCCATATATATATATATATATATATATATATATATATATATATATATATATATATATATATATATATATATATATATATATATATATATATATATATATATATATATATATATATATGTGGTGACACTACGCACAATAAAAGACTATATATATATATATGGGAATTATCGTGACGACTAACAATCGCTATTTCTAGTCTATCCTCTATTACTATACGGATCACCATCTCTACGCTACGCTATTCTCTATTACTATACGGACCGCTATTCTCTACTCTATTCCCTATACTATTTCTCTATTCGGATCACTATACGGATTACTATTCGAGCGAGTATTATCGAGCAAGTACTATTAGTGCGAGTGTTATTCGAAGAAGTTTGACACCAGTATTGTTCAACGGCGTTACTATAAGTTGTATCTGCGATTACCAAGTCTCTACTACAACGAGCATTACGAAAGTGAAAATCAGTATTCGTTGGATTGACAAAATGCTCTTACATAGCCTCGTCAGATCGCGACTGTCGTGCATGGCGCCAAACTCGTTAGGATATATCTAAGCTGTATACAACCGCTTTCTCAGATCGATAGTAAAATGTGGCTTCGAGCGAACGAAGGTCTGGGCGATTACCATAATTCTTCGAACCTCGGGAACTTGTGCTACAGAATCACAAAGAAGAGTACTAAATAACAGAAACCACATTACTTGAGGACTTTCAACAACTGAAACAATTAAAGTGGATAGGACATGTAAATTGAAGAGAAAATAATAATAATATTCGTTGGCATCACAAAAGTGGCAACAACTGTTCGCTAACATTACAAAATAACTTGAAAATTCCATTGAAACCGACTGTGAAATCAAGAAAATATGAACTGTAAGAAAAATTTTCGACATATATGGAAAAATGAAGACGTCAGTTTAAACTTTTGCCGGGGGATATGCGTTATACATTTTCTTGATGTTCTAGATTTTTCCATTTTGTTTTCTATCAACCGCTCTCACCTATATATAATATTATGAACCTCTATCTTCCTGGCATCAGTTTAAATTAACACCTTGTTTTATCCATATATCTGACAAATTGAGCCATTTTATACGGTTTATCTATACTTTGCAGGTTATTTAAAATCAGAAAATACTTTTAGATTGTTAGAATCTTTTGGTGATAATAATGAGTTAGCGATACAGTCTTACTATTTAACCCATAGATGCACGGGGAGAAGATGTGGGTTAATGTCCTTCCCAAGGTAATTACGCGTAAATGAATATAACGAACCGAACGGAAATTGAGACTCGACTCTCCAATTAACAACCGCACATCCAAGCTTACAGCACCGGGAATTCCCAAGCGGTAACCCAACTAGGTACTGTTCAGGCTTGATGTTGCTTAATTTCGGTGATCGTATGGTGGCCGATGTTTCTACGTGATGAGGTCGTCAGCCGACTGCTATTGTTGAATAGTTACTGGCAAAAATTACAAGTAGAATTCAGTCTTAATTTCTTAAATTATAGTTAAAAGCAGAGGCGTTGAAAACATCCAAATAGTCTTATGCTAAGTGCGTTCATTTCCCATTGGTCAATCACTGAAATAAATCATTCATAAGATTTGCTTAATGGACCCAAAGCGAAAGAATAGTAATTTAAAGAAAAGCCTTAAATTGGTATCATTAAATGAAAAGGTTAAAAATCTTAACATAACCCATTAATTCCCACCGAATAAAATTCCATATTCTTCCTTTAAAATCATATCACCCTATACAAGGCAGTAAAGCAACTAAGACACAAGGGGTTACTGAGTGTGAAAAAAATAAAAAAAGGAAAGGTCAGTAAGGACGATAACAATAGAAGAGTAATCAAGAAGACAGAAGATAACGATTAACATTGTATTTAAATTTTTGAAGATTAAGGTTGGCGGAAAAACAGGGAGCCGGTAGACAATTCCACAAGTGCGAGAAAAGAAACTGTTAGCATAGAACTTACGGTGACATCTAGCCATTTCAACTGTAAATTGATGAGAGCTTGTTGTCAATCTAGTACTGTGCTTGAATTCATAAAGTCGAGGTACCATAGCGGAGAGTTCATCCGAACAATTGCCATGAAAGTATTTGTTATGCCATATTACCTATTCTATTGTAATGGACTCTCTCACAGATAATAAGTAGTAGTAGCAGTCGCGAGTCGGCTCAGTGGTGTTGAGCGAGTCAGACGATATCGGACATTGAAGTACCAACCATCACAACTAGATTGCTGAGTCATTAACTCTTATTTCCAAGTTCCTAACGTTTTGTACGTTGAACCTAATTTAGGACGGCTTATTGAAATAGAAGCCTCCACTGTGAAAACTACTCTACAACAGTATTTATTAAAAAGGAATGAGGAAACTACATTACGACGCTGGAAAAGTTACTGAAACCGTGATGCTAGGTCAGGACCAATAATATTGCTGATTCTTCTTTGGGTTTTATCAAGAATCTCTACATATTTAGCAGGTGACCAGATCATATGTCGCAGTAATATTCAAAGCATGGAATGATGGTAGACTTATAAATATATAAGATAGATTCCGGAGAGAGAAAAAGAAAATTAATTTCGGATTGGTGCCATTCTTCTTCTTCTTCTTCTTCTTCTTCTTCTTCTTCTTCTTCTTCTTCTTCTATGTGTCTTGTCTCTTCAGGACGTAGGATGTCATGGCTCTCCTCAACTTACAGCCCCTTGCAGTTCTTAGTAAATTTAATTTGTTTGCTCTCTCTCCAAATTCCTGTTTTTCCAAAACAATTAACATTTAGTTATTTTGGTTATTTGCTGTTTCCCTCTGTTCCTCTTGTCGCTAATATATCCTGTGAGTGCTAAATTCTCCAAGCCCTCTTTCCTCATTACGCGCCCTAGAAATTTCAACTATTTCTCATTCTAAGCATAAGTGTACGTTTTGTTTCAGTTTTTCACAGAGGTTCATCGTTGCTCACATGTTCAATCCACCGTATTCTCAGCAGCCTTCTGTAGAACGACATTTCTATTACTTCAAGACTATTCTTTATCTGTGATGAGATTGTTCAGCACTCGCTGTCATATAGGAAGGCCGATATTACATAACAGTTCAGTACTCTTTTGCTTGTTTCTAACGAAAATTTCCTGTATCTTAATACTTTACTTAGCTTTTGTAATGCGTATTCGGATTTCAGCGTCATGTTTTATGTAACTTTTATCTGACGTCTCCAATTTGTAGTTTGTATCTTGGGCCGTCTCTTTTGCTAACAACCATATACTTCCTCTCATCTTAAAATTGATGTTTCGTATTTTATTCTCTCTTTCCTTTACTACCTTCTACAGGAGTGGCTTTCTATGTCTTCTGTCGGAATTGTGGCATGTTTTTGTTTGCTTTTGATGTTTAAGTATGGCCTGATGACATAGCAGTTAATTTTTACATCAATAATTAAATTTGCGTTTTGGTTTTAAAATATTTTGACTCGACGATTGATAAATAACTTGTTTTCCTTCATTTTAAACTTCGGCAAAATTTCATTTGATAATAAAATATAAATCAGTTTCGTTAACAAGAGTTCTAAACTGAAAAGTAATCAGATACACAAACCTTTGATCAGAAACTTGACAATACGGCATATTTGCAGCCCTATTGTGCTTTGCAATAAGGAAAGAATATCGACTTTTTGAGAGCAAGTTCGAATCCGATTGACGCCTGAATCGATATATTTTTATTTTCAAAAATCTTTTTGAAAATAAAATTTCAAAGATAAGTTTGGTGACTCGCCTGACTGAAAGATATTTTTTCTGTTTTTCTTTTTTTATATAATATAATTTTCCAATATAATGCCTGAGATTAACTCAAGGTAGAGGTTTCCTGTTAAAATGTCGAGGTATATGATATGAATGAAGTAGGGGGGTGGTAGGAAGTGAATATCACTGTCATCAAATTTTTGGGTAATTCGAATCCACTGAGCCGGCATCTAGGTTTTGTAGCTATATTTATATATAAAAAAAAACACTGAGATCTACAATTCCATATAAAAGAGGCTGTTACTGTTTCTAGAATATGAAAAGGCATATTCGAGATCAGGGTAAAACATTTTCAGATAATTGTCTCTATGCTGATAAAACTTTTGTGGACTTGAAAAATGCGTACAGTCGATTGACTAAGTGTTTTCTTATTTACAGCTTACCAACCCATTGCAGGTTATTTAAAGTCAGACAATATTTTTTAGATTGTAAGTATTTTATGGAGATAATAATGAGTTGCTGATATAAGTTCTACAAATTAACCCATAGCTGGGGGAGAACATGTGGACTCATACATTTCCCAAGAGTATTTACGTGTAAGTGAATATAATGAACCTGACTGGAATTGAAACTTCTCTCCATCTAACCAGGCTTGATGTTGCTTACCTTCGATGATCGTACAAGAAACAGTCTTTCAATGTGATGTGATAGTATGCACTGTACAAGTGTTGTTAAATCAATAAAGAAATATGTTGGACGTGAATTGGAAAAAGAAACGAGACTTTAAAACGGAATTAACGGAGTTAATTTCCTCTTGTAACTTTTTTCTTTTTCTAATCACATGTATGTATGTATGTATGTATCTAATTCTAAACACATCTATCTATCTATCTATCTAATTCTAATCACATCTATCTATCTAATTCTAATCACATCTATCTATCTATCTATCACATCTATCTATCTATCTATCTGTCTGTCTAATTCTAATTACCTCTATCTATCTAATTCTAATTACATCTATCTATCTATCTATCTATCTATCTATCTATCTATCTATCTATCTATCTAATTCTAATCACATCTATCTATCTATCTATCTATCTATCTATCTATCTATCTATCTATCTATCTAATTCTAATCACATCTATCTATCTATCTATCTATCTATCTATCTATCTATCTATCTATTTCAATCTTTTAAACCCATGCAAGAAAACATTCATCTTCCCGAGAGCAGAAGAACAGGATTTCCAGCCCGATTTAAAGAAACAGAATTCTTTCAATTCTACCAATCACCGATGGGCACACACACCTGCATGATTTAATTGTCGTCTTCCCCCAGCCATGCCGCTCGGGTCATGCTTTCCACTAATCTTTCCCCGACGAAATAACAGCCTGACTTGACTGATCAATATTAATCAAAATTTGAATGGCTTCCTTAATGGAATTTAAAACTAGCCTTAAAAATATCAGGCAAACCTTATTAACTTCACAATTTGCTTTTGAAAACTGTGTGAGAAATTTAAACTGAATTTTTGTATCCAATGATAAAGTCATTGCTTTTAACATCGAAATTTTGCTTTCTTTTTTTAGTCATTTAATCGTTTTGTCGATGCCATAAAATATGACATTATTATTCATCTGATTTTGCAATTTCAATGTACTTATAAAATATCACAGACTTCATTTCTTTGTTTCTGTCCAACCAGAATAGTATCCGTAAAAACCGATGGAATTATTTATGTACGAATCGGCAGTTTTGTTAGGATTATACAGGCACAACTCCAAGAATCAGAATATTGTTGAAATGATAATTTAATTAAAAAAGTATCCAAGCATAATGAATTAAAATTAGAGCCATGCTTGTTGTTTCATTTCATTATTATTATTGTTGTTGTGCTTGTACCACCCTTCATTAGTTCGCACGACCGTTACGTCCTGTCAATACCGCATAAATAATTTGATTTAATCTATTCCGTCTAGATCGCGTGGAAAGAGAGGAAAGACTTGTTTTCAGTGAGAAAATGAAAGAAAGAAAGAAAAAAAAGTAAGAAAGAAAAAAGAAAGAAAGACAGAAGTTTTAAAGTCTCCTGCCAGCACCTCATGAATAATGGACTATTCCGTTTTGATCGCGTGGAAAGAGGGGAAAGATACTACGTGTTTTCAGTGAGAAAATAAAAGAAAGAAAGAAGAAAAAAAAAAAAAAAAGAAAGAAAGAAAGACAGAAGTTTTTAATGTCTCCTGACAGCACCTCATGAATAATGGACTATTCCGTTTTGATTGCGTGGAAAAACAAAAGACATATCAGAGATGATACTTGGGCACCTCGAGGCGGTGTAATGGTTAGCAAGGTTGTCTCATTAGAACAAATACGACTTAGTAGTGAGTTCGATCCTCAATGGGTTCCCCCTACTTTCGGCCTTGTGCCACATCTAAGCTACGTTTAGAAAAATCTCTATCAGAGACCCTACTTGATTTCAGTGAGAAATTGAAAGGAAGTCGAGAAAACGGCCGTTTCAGTGAAATGAAAATGTTGTCAGTTTTAAATATTTTTATTTGTACCCCCTTACTTCTTAAAATAACGACAAGCATTCATATTTATGATTGTTATTGCAATATTTTGTTAAAGTTGTTAAGATCAAATATTTATCGATGTGTTTTCTACTGTTATTTTATTGTCATAGAACACGTTATGAGCTT